ACCCCAAAACCCCAAAACCCCAAAACCCCTAAAGAATGTAAGTCAGGATGAGTTTTTTGAGAATTTTAATGAATTTTAAAAGATATAGGTATTATTATAAGACTATATTTAACACTACTCTAATAAAAAGAGCATATATTGAACATTTATAACACTTTCTTTCATTTGAAGACCTTTTTCTTTACAAATTTAATCTAAGCTTTCTTCCTCTTAAAGTCTTAAAATAATGCTGATTTCAAATTCTTTTGTAAATTATTTTACACCTCATTTCTCTTTGGATTCATTTAGTCTAGCTGTTATTATCTGATCTTTATAAGCTTCTCTGCCTCTGTTAAATCTTGAAATTGAAATTCATCTTCTATGATTTAGTTGAAGTCTTCATTTTCTTGATCTGTTTATACTTCTTCGACGCCTCCTGATTATAAAGCTGTTTTGAATCTCTTGGCTAATTTTTCTCTTAAATTCATTCTTTTAATCTAATTATTCCCAAGTTTCTAATTGCTTGAAAATTGCTCTTGAAAGGGTGAATTATCTCCCATGTTGTACATTGAAGTTCCATAAGATTATTTAAATTACTGCTAGTATTCTTCTCTGACTAATTCATCAACATCTTCTTACTACCCTTAAGAAATCTCTTATTTCATCTTCAGGACTTTGTTCTTTTTCTTGGTCAATGGTGAATCATCTGATACAACCAAATCAAACTATTTTCTTGCTTCTTTCTCTTCTTCAATCTGTCTGTAGAGTGCTATACAATACTAAGAAAAGTATTTTGCAATGTCAATTTTGTATTTTCTGCATTTATAGATAAAGACACACTTCTGAACTAGCTTTTCTTTGAATCTTTCTTTAATAAGTATACGTATTTCATCCTCTTTTTATTTCTTTTCAGTATAAGATTCTTTATTAATAATTTTTTCATTTATATTCATTACTTGATACCTCCCTAATTGCTTCATCGCCTTCTCTTTTTCAAGATTCTTCTTTAACTCTTATTCAGCCAATTTTTGATCTGCTTGCTTTTTATCTTACTCCATTTTTTGAGATGATTCAAAGTTGAGAGGCATCGTATTTCTAGTTTTATTAAAAGCAGGATGATATTTTTAAAAAGAATATTGAGATCCTGAGTTTTCTGGATCTATCTAGGACTGCTAAATTGATATATCTGTAGATTGGTTTTAGCTACTTTAAATCAATGGCTTGTATGCTTTTATCACATCTTGAAAAGTGTTAATTTCACTGATTTTTTTTAAAGTTATTAAAGAGGATTCTTTGTTTTGACTGCTACTCTACAAAGTTTATCTCTAATATTTATGTTATTGAGTATTTGGGCTCTGTTTAGATAATGGTGGTTTCGTATTTATTACTGTGTTCACCATTTCTTGTCTATCTCCAGAATTTTATCGAGTTACTTCATGACTTGAATTGCCTTGCTTCATTTGCAGTTGAAATATACTTCTTTCCATGTTCAAATTGGCTATTGTATTCATATTTGAATTTAAAGATGTTGAAGATGATTTCTAACTTAAGAGTTATCTGGATTGGAGATTTGAGAAAGATTGAGTTGTCTGAGATTCGTCTACAGCCTAAGAAGCTTAATCCAAACTCTCCATAAACATTCTTTTTGTTTTCTCCCCTATCACTGCTGATGGAGGTTTAGCAGGATTAAATATAGTAGATTTTATATAAGGGTTGCTACTATAATTTGGTGTAAGAGAAGTAAACAACTTTGATTAGTTTTATTAATTGACTGAGATATTGAGAGTGCTATTTGTTGGAGATATTTTCCTATTTAAGCTCAAGTTATGCGCGATACTTTGATTGAGATTCGCAGAATACCCATTAAATTCATTGCCCTCTTTATTAAGATTGAAAGCTGAATTGTAATCTGGCTGTCTTGGCTTGATGTCTCCTTCAGTCGAGACTGATGCTTAAGCATATCCTTTGAGCTTGTTAAGTAAATTTGCTTCAATATTTTGACTAACTGTATTTTTATGTGATATTATTTTATTCAACCCTAAATTCTGCTCTCGCTATGTAGTATTCATACTAGCGCTAAGGGCATTTTTATTTGATCCACCAGAAGTTAGAGATTCCAAAGTCATATTTCGTGTTTAAATTCTAGGGCCAGCTGAATTAGCATGACCTTCTAAAAATTTGAATTGGTATTGGAGATTTTTCTAGCTTTAAAGAGGAGTTGTCGAAACCTTATTCTGATAATCGAACATTTTTGTTTTATTCATACTCATATTTAGATTACTTTTATTGAGTTCTGAGTGATCATGAGCAAAAGAGGAGTCAGTCTTTTTCAGTATACTTGAAATATTAATCCCACTGGAATTAAAAGATTAATTGGATTATTAAAGTGACTGAAGCTGACCAGATTATTTATTCAAAGTTGGAAGCTTCATTGTAGATTAATTAGTTAAAACAGATCCATTCAGTTGAATATTAAACGGATGCTTTGGAGGGAGCATACCTCCTTAAGTCTTCACCACATTCTGAAAAGATGAAGTTGTCTATTGATAGGATAATTAGCTAGCCCTCCTATTCATAATGTTACTGTCTGTTAAATTGCTTTAATGATTTTGAAATAATTTTATTCCCTATTCCATTGATATAGCTATTTATTTATAATATAGTGAAATGAAATTATCGATTTTGTATTTTTTAACTAAACCAATTGATTGAATATTATATAAATTTCATTAAAATCTTATTCACGGGGTTTTGGGGTTTTGGGGTTTTGGGG